ATAAACCTTTAAGAACGGTAGTTCATTAATGTGTTCATCGTGTGTATGATACCCTTGAGCTATAAAATATGTCTTCTCTCCTCAGAGTGCCACCTTCAATCTTCCTCTGATGACTTCTCCAACATGCTCTTCAGTTTTATAGATAGAAGCAAATTCAAAATGGCAGAAGCCAGCTTCTATAGCTACTTCGGTCATCTCCTTAGCCTTACTCTTGGGAAACTGAAGAACAACCAAATGTAGTATTATTCATTCAGGCACAAAATTTGTTCAAGTATCAGCTTTTTCCAGGAACTGCTTAAGTCCCAGCCAAGACAATCACAGGTTAGTCATTTGCATTGAAAAGCCACACTATCACCTAGGATCAGTGACTTATGAGAAGGAATCACACAAATATTAAACAATAAAATTTACACAGGAAAATATGAATCAGGTGACAGGAAGATGAAATGCTATGGATCTTCTGTGAACCTTCACCCAGGGAAGTGACATGGAACATACCAAATTTCCCAAACTCAGAATGCATGCTGACATTGTTTAAATGGAAGGTTTATAGAGGCTCTTTTCCTAAGATGTTCAGTCATGGTTTACACAGAACACCTGACTTAAGGTGCGGCCAAATTCTGTCTCCAAATGATAACATGTTTATTGTTTGTCCAAGCAGTTCAGGGACAGCTTTCATCTACATATTATGAAAGGGAAGAAATCAACAGTCTATATATCACAATTTTATGATCTTAGTTTTCTTATTGCAATTGCAACATACAAGGTACTAGGTCCCTGCTTCCTACTCTGAATATTACCCTTTACTTTTCTTAGGAAAAATCTTTTAGTTTAGGTTGTGTCTTTGAATGTTTCTTGCCTTTCATTCAGCTTTTCTCAGAATTTAATTCTTGTCACAGATTTCCACAATTGCCCTTTAGGCACCCCCTGCCCCCCAGTTCACAGAGTTCTTTTCAAATAAAGCATCAGTTACAATTACTCAAGCCCACAGCAAAACAGATCGACTAGGATGTGTTATAGATTCCAAATGTCATAGAAATTTTTTTGACATTGTATTTTGCTGCTGGGTGAAGAGCTGATCTTCCTAAAACAAGGGACTCTAGTTAGAATGACTAGACTTAGTGGATGGACTTGTATTGGGGAATGGCTGGGGACACTGATAACACAGTGTGCCTGACAGAGATGACCAAGTATATGGGCTCCAGTGGACGGGGAGGTGGGAGAGTACCAGTGGGGATGGGGGTATAAAGATGAATGCGATTATTTGAGCTGCTCTGTATGAAATACACACAAAAAATTTCAATAAAAAGAATGCAATGTCCTGTAGGCACTTTTTAAGGATTCGAGGACCAACAAGATGGCTCAGCAGGGGAAGATGCTTATCAACAAGCCTGACAACCTTAGTTCAAACTCTGAGACTCATATGGTGGAGGAAAGAATTAACTCCTGCAAGGTGGCCTCTCACCTCCACATTAGGTCTTGTCACGCACACGTGTGCATGTATGAGTGTGAAACAGATTGCCTATGTCTGCATTCTGTTACTAGTCTTTAATTTCCTTTCCTTTCTAGTCATTTCCCTTAGGAATAGTTAATGAAATCAGTGTTGTGGCACAAGTCTGTAACCACACTGGAGAGGCAGAGGAGAAGTAAAGTTAAAGACCTGTTTTTCTACAGAATGACACCAGTGTCAAATACCAGAATCTTAAAAACAGTACATGATAAAGTCTACTAGCCCATACCCTGTAATTTTCATGAGATATTAAGTCAAACTCAGAGCAAAACACCAAAATTAATTATTTTATGCATCTCATCCCAAAACTTTATTACAGCAATATCTATACAAATCGGCTTTATAAGAGTGGAAAATAACTTCAATTACATAAATAAGCAGAAAAACCACTCCAGTTTCAATCAACTTCCAATCAAGGAATCTCACGGTCACTTTTTGTTTTTTACACACACACACACACACACACACACACACACATATGTATGTACTGGGCATATATAATACAATGTGGCAGCCCTGGAGATAAAAATCCCCTCTTTCTACACACATTTGTGTAGATGGAGGTATTAATTAAAACAAACAAAGTTTTGGAAAATGTGAAGCATTAGACAAGAAGATGTTCTTTAAGATAAACAGCAGGTTGACCATGTGCCATGAACAAATCAGAAGAGTTAGCATCTCCAGCTCCTCACCCTTTCTTGTGTTTGCATTTCTTGGTCTCTACCCCTTCAGATGTTACAGAATACGTGTTAGGTTGTAGTGAATTATGCACATCCTCTAGGGTTGAGAAACAGAAGAACTTATTTTTTCTATCTAATGACTTTTTCATACCTCGTATACAGACTCTGTCATTGTTCACCCTTATCATACTTACAACTATTCATTATTCAAGTTGATTTATTTTAGCTTCTTTTTCAGAGAGAACAAGTAGACTGTTTTCGCTTGACAGGCTTGTTTCACAGGAATGTGTCCAACAATTCAATCTATTTTTCAACCACAAAAAGAATTTCATTTTCTTTTACGAATGAACAGCACACGGTGAGCATGTGCTACATATTATTTTTTATATTTTAAACTGTCTTCATTGTACTTTCCATTGTACGTGGTACTGTGATACATAGGACATTTCAACCAGGAGTATACTGTGCATTGAACACGTTCTCAATCCCACACACATTTCCCTCCCTGCTCTGCTTTTCACTTCCCTCACATCAATCCACTTCATTAACAGACAACTACACTTTATGTCACATAGACATATATGTTTTTGTATTTACATAAAATATTAGATATTAGAGAAAACATGATCTTTGTCTTTCTCAGACATAGTTAATTTGCTTTATATAGAATTATCTTCTTCACTTATATCCATTTTCTTGTCAGCAACATTATCTCAGTCTACTCTATGGCTGATAAAAAATCTAGTGCATATATATGCAGTATTAGTTTTATCTGCTCCTCTGCTTTATTTTATAATTTACCTACTGTAAATAGTGCTACAATAAATACTGATGAACAAACATGTCTATGATATGTTTACTTGGAGTCCTTTGGGTAAATGACCAAGAATGATAGGCCACATTTCTCTATTCATTGAGTAATGGGCATCTAAACTGATTCCATATCGTAAATAGTGCTACAATAAACAAAAATATTAGATCTAGCTGTTTAGACATTGACTTTTAAAATATGATCCCCAAAGCATAGAAAACATTAGAAACAGAAAAGTGAAGTCACATCAGATTTTGCAGCCTCTGCATAGCAAAGGCAAAACTACATAATGAAAATGTTTTAAGTGTGTAGACGCTCTGAGCAGATATTGCTCAAAAGAAGAAGTGCAAATTAAACAAACACACATAGGGTTCGTTAACATTCATTTTTAGGCAGTGAGATAAAAGGAAATGGGCTTAAACAAAAGGAAAACACAGTGCCAGGATAATGAGCAGGTGCACACGGAATCACATTCTGTTTCTGAGAACAGTTTTTCTTAAATTGCATAGCTAAAGCCTGGTGAGAGAACCCATGAACCCCATAGTCCCCAGGAAGTGACTGACTTTACATGTCAGGTGGACATGCACTCACTCTGATTCTATTCCTCACCCCACACCCAAGCTTTAAGACAATTTTATTAAGACTTAAAATCCTCAGGACAGGCAAGCTGTAAATCTTAGCAGCTGCCTTAAGGAGGACAATGGAGGGGAGAAGGAAAAATCCATGAACGATGCAGGTTTAGAGCCTGCATAGAGGTCAGACACATGGCTGACTGCAGCCACATGGCTGGGAGAAGGAAGCTAGACAAAAAGCAAAGAAATACAAGACACTAGGGAAGCCCAAAGCGTTAAAGAAAGCCTGTTTAGAAAAGGGATATGAAGAAAAGGAGCGATTACACGTTTCTGAAGAAAAGTGGGAGGACTTACAGAGACATGCCTGCGGCTGGGCTCAGAAGCACTGCACTAGGGGCAGATTCAGGATAGGAAAAGTGCACACAAAGAAGGCTGCCAAGGACATTTTGGCTTTTAGCCAAGAAAGAAACTAGCTGCTTTTCTTCAGGGTCTTTTTACCCTAAACTATCTAGTCAATTTCTGCCTCTGATGATCATTATGCCCCTCTCTGACTAGCCAGCTTCTTTCTTGGCAGCCTACTTTGTACCAAAGACAAGAAATACCCAAAGTATTCGGGAGCTTTTACCTAATTCCTAAAATATTTTAGGGTTACTTCTTTAGAAGGGGGAATGTTAGAGTAGTCAAAGTTCTTGCTCAACAATGGCTTTGCTTGGAAATAGTGAGGAAAGTTCCTGTGTCTTGACTTTCCTCTTCATAGATTGAACATTGGTTCAAGTCCATCTGGTGAGGTCTCCATGACCTCCCTGAACAAGAGGACAGGTGACTCACCACAGTTGCAAGCTATTTGAGAGATGCCCCGTAGTCCTCTGCAATTTAGTTGACCTCAGAGGGCAAGGGACAAAAAAATGTCCCTTTAAGTCCCTTTGAACAGATTAACATAGGCTTCAAATTATGGCTATTAAACACCTGAAAAGGTTCGTTACACCACACTGGCACTTTTAACTAACATGTAATGTGTAGATAAAGCTTGAGCAAAAACCAAACATTCTTAAATAAACCTTGACCAGTCACATACTTTGTTTCTTAAGTTCGTTGACTGAGCTATTTATTACCTTGGAAATTTTAGGATTATCTACAAATTATTTGTTTCTTCCTTCATGTATCATAACAAACCTACTCAGACCTTCATCACTTGTATGGACTTTCTCATCTAGTCTTTCTATTCAGGAAACATCCCATCATCATAATCTTCATATATAAATCATTAATGAAATATCTCCATTTCCATACCCTTCTAGCGTCTTTCACCTTCTGGTTTCGTTTCTTAATACTATGAGACAAAATAACAAATGAATTTTCCAACTCTTATGAGAATTTTCTTCCTGGGTATACTAAGCAATGCTTATCCCCTTTACAAGGTTCTAATATCAAACTAATGTTTGATTAAAGTTCACCCTCGGGAACCAATGAGTTTACTCACAGAGATGGTTGAGGCGTTACTGACAGGTACATTGGTGACGTGAGAGTAGTTGCACTGTAAAGTCTTTACCCAGCATGGATGTTGACTTTTCTATCACCTCATGGTAAGCCTCTTCTTCCCTATCTTCTCAAGATTATATACTTTAAAATCCAGGAGATCACCTGTGATTAGGGCAGAATTACATACATGTAACTGAAAAGAGTGAATGGATACTCAGATAAGGATCCAATGACCCTGTTTACCTCTCCTTCAATGAAGGAACATAATAGTCAACAAGCCCAATTGTAATGTGTAAATAGGCACAGGTGAATTCATGAAGACGGCAGTTATTTGGCTCAGAAGAGTACTGTGCAACATCATCTTGTTACAAGAACATCGGATCCAAATTATACACGTGTGGTACTGTAATGAATTAATATTATCCATGTACACACTGTGGCTTTATAAGTTCCCAGGTAAACCTTATAGAAACACAAGACACTTAAAATCTTCTCTACTTTATTTAGTTCAGAGAGTAGTCTACCAAAACCTTGATTTAGATTTTGCATGAATGTCAATGGTTGATAGAGAGAAGCAACGTATACATAGCAAAACACCAAATTGATGTTCACAACCTCCTTCATAATCAATTAAGAAAAACTGTGATGCTGACTGATAAATTCTAGGCAGAGCATCATCTTTATCCTCTCCATGGCCTGTAAATTACCGTTTCTTAAAAAAGAAAATCTATCCTTTTTTCTAAAATTTATAATTTATCCATCCTTGTTTTTTAGTTTTTAAACTAGATAAAATACAAGACTGTTAGTTCTCAGCGTGAATTCTTCTAAAGAGGGCTATCAGTCTGTCTGGATTAGAAAAAATGTATTATAATTAACCTCTATTTCTCTTGAACTTTCAACCCCAAATCGCTGTCTTTACCTCCAAAGGCAGTGCCAAAGCCCAGCACAGGAATGAAATAATCATCACTTAGTTCTGTACATTGACATTTGGAGTTCATCGTTCCTCACTCGCCTGGCTAAGACACTCAGTGTAAAGGCACATTTAAGTCAGGGACGTTCCTGCTCTGCTATGCCTTGCTAACATTTAACAAATGGCATGTTGGAGGGGTTCAGATACTTTCCACATGTAGGGACAAAGAATTAATTCAGAAGCTATTGATTTTAGCCAAGTTTTCCCTTATAATTTACCACAGGTACATTTGAATCATTAGAAGCATTGATTAAACAACTGCTGAAGGTTGTGTGCATGTGTTCCACATGATGCTTAAGGCATCGGGAGGTTATAATACAAAGAAATAACCTTTATGTTTTCTAAACATATAGATAAACATATTCACTGCCTCCCTCTTTAAGGAGTGTTGCATACACAGCAATGGAGAGATATGCTGCGAGCATTTAAACAAGCAGACAGGTAGGAAAAAGTTATGACTTTAAAAGTTGATTCTCTATGTAATCTTGTAACTTTGGCTACTTTAACCTTTACAGGTGCCTGCTGTATGTGCCAACCATGAAGTCCCCCCCATGATTATGTTCTTAATGATACTTGTTTTGATTCATGTCCATTCCACACAGAGTGTGTGTATGCCTTCTGTAGCCCAAGTAGGGGCAGATGTTATGGGTCTCCTCTAATATTGAATTTTATTTTTTCATGTTCTAAGGTTGTGATGGGGCCTGTTAAATGGTATAAAGATAAAAAAATAATATTTAATCAGGCTAATATAAAGCGACCTTGGAAAAATATCACTTATCAGTCCAAAAATATAAATAATAATAATAATAATTGAGGATATACAAAAAGTCAGTCTATGTTCAAGTTGCAGGACAATATAAATGCACTAAGCTTAAAGCTGGAGTTTCTAAGGATGTTTTCTATTCCAGGGCTGCTGTAAATATAAGGCTCTCCATGGTTTCCTCAACATCTATGGACAAACAAAATTTCTGTGTTCAATTGGCAGTAGACATTATGAATAGACATTATGAAAGATGTGTATGCGTTCTCTGCACAAGAGGGGAATTTGGTACATCAACTATTAATTAATAACCTTATGGACTTGTCTGTAGGATACAGTGGAGATGAGGCTATTAGTCAAGATCAGGTACTGTTTCATGCAAAACAGACATTACCAGTTTCATTTATTAGTCATCAAAGATGTTATGCATTGATTGTATTATTTCTTCACACCTTTAAATTGTTCTGACTACTGGCAAGGGGCTCCCTGTAGGATGTGCTTTTTTTCTTTTTTCTTTTTTTTGGTCTTTTTGAGACAGGGTCTCCTGTAGCCCCACGTATCCTGGAACTCACTATGTAGACCAGGCTGGCCTTGAACTCACAGAGATCTGCCTGCCTCTGCCTCCCTATTGCTGGGATTAAAGGTGTGTGCCACCTTAATGTTGTGTTTCTGCTTTGCCTACCAATTTCTCTGGGCTATGCTCCATCGGGTAGATAGTTCCCCTATTACCATCTCCTACACCCACTCATCAGGTTGCTCAAGGTCTCCCCGCCGACTGTAATGACCACTTGTCTCTCCTAAGTCCTGGTCAAGTCATGACCATGCGGCTTCTATCTTACCTGTTCCAGGTCTATTAGCAAGGATGCAGAAAGAAGTTTCACAAGTGGCCTATGTAGCTCCACTAAGGCAGCCAATCTTCCTGCATAGGCATTAGCAAAATTAACCAGGAAACAAAAGATCCCCATATGTCAGTCCTAGAGAATTGAGCTGCTATTGATTTCCTGTTATTGAAACATCATCTCTGTTGTGAACAATTTCCTGAAATTTGTTGCGTCAATATTACCAGCAATTCCAATATTATTCAACAAGAGATAGATCAAATAAAAGAGAAAATTGGTAAGATTCATGAAGGCAAAGCTTGGGCCTGGCCTTACTGGTTTTCCTGGATCCATCCATTCCTGGAACCCGCACATTTTCCAGTTTCAGTAATCATTTTTTCAATGGATACTTTGGTGTTTTGGTATTTACATTTGCAGTTCTTGGGACAGTAAGACATCTCAACGGATAAAGGCAGTCTGAACATCTGAGTTCAATCATTAGACACACATTATGAGGACAGAAAGCGCTCTCTAAAGTTACATATTGATCGCCACAGGTAAATTGTGGCAGACAAACACAGAAAATTAATTATTAGTTGATCGGTTGCATAGTTAATTGTACTGTTCTTTACGTATAGTGCATATGAATCCACAATACAATATGTATTTTGTAAAGCATTTTCTTCCTGTTCTATTGACCCTCTTTCAACCTAGGACTTGTTTTTTGTGCTATACAGATAATTTTTCATTTAATGTATTCCTGGGTTTATTTCTTATGCTACTGAAGTCCTTTTCAGAAAATTTCCAGGTTTGAATGCCAGCACCCACCTGCAGCTAACAATTGTCCATAACTCCACTTCCAGGGGATCTGCCACGTTTTCCTGACTTCCATGGGCATTTCATGGCACGGGTGCACTTGCAAGCAATATTCTCATACACATAAAATAAAAATAATAGACTGCTAGAGAGATGGCTCATTCCTTAAGAGCACTGGTTGTTTTGCAGAAGACCTGGGTTCGAATCCCAGCACCCACATGGAGACGATCAATCATCCATAAATCCAGTTCCAGTGACCTCTTTTGTGTTCCACAAGCACTACATGGTATGGGTGCACTTACACACATACAGGCATAACATGCACACAAAATAAAATAAATAAAAGCAATAAATAAAATATTAAAAGAATAAGAACTTATTCTGCTTCTAAAATGTGCTGCTTAATTATCAAACTACATAACTCCCACTTTCAACTCAGCCTTGAAACTCTAAATACGGACTAAACCACAGCGAATGAACTTGCACTGAGGGATGTCTGGGGATACTAACTTGACTTGATAGGCCTTAACACAAATG